CCAGGAGGGACGCGCAGTCTTTAGCGAGTGTTTATCAGTGTCCAGCTTGATGACATTTGGTGGGTTCCCACTGAGCACACGTAGGACAAGAAAAGACATCTGCAGCCCCTCAGAAACTGCCCATGGCCGAAGGTGCTGATGATGTAGTCCACAGAAACGCAGGCAGGGAGGAAGACAGCAGTCTTCTCTTATCTGGCCTGATGATCCAGAGCAAGCCAGCAAGCACTGATGACAGAAGAGGAAGCAGGGGACTTAATATGTGACAGAGGTGATGTCACACAGCCAAGGGGTTAGGAGTCCTGCTTTGAGTGGTCAGCGTGACTGCTTTTCCCCCAGAGAGGAGAGGGAGGGAGGGAGGAGAGAGGGAAGGGTCTGCTTCACGTGTCCCCCAAAACAGATTCCAGCTGGGTTACAACGACAGCGTGAAAACAGTAAAATGTCTGAATATTCTATAACCTTGGAATCAAGACTATTTTTATTTTTTTATTATTACTATTTTTTTTTGTGGTACCGGGGATCGAACTTGGGTCCTTGCGATTGAGGGGCAGGCAGCAGAACCACTGAGCTAAATCTCTGGCCCTCAAGACTATTTTTAAAAAGACGTTTAAAAGAATGGTACCTGGAGTAAAGATTCACGGGGCTTTGGGAAGCTACAGCAGCAGGAGCAAAAGTTTGGCCACCCTGGGCTCCGTACTGAGACCCTAGATCAACAGTGTCAAAACTGCTAGGCTTTCTCCAACATTTAAGAAGACTTACATGCCAGAAGATACCACACAGGTTAAAAAAAAAAGACTGGGAAGAGTTACAGCATAAAAATTAAAGATTAGTCACCAAAATCCATAAGAACTTAAAAATTCTAGGAGGAGCTGGATGTGGTAGTGTACACCTGTAGTACCAGAATTCTGGGAGGCTGAGGCTGGAGGATCTCGTGTTCGAGCCCAGCCTGGCTAAGTCAGTGACTCAGTGAAACCCAGTCTCAGAATTTTAAAAGGAGGGCTGGGGATTCAGCTCAGTGGGAAGCCCTTAGATTCGATACCCCTTACTGAGTCCTGAGAGTACATAAACAGGGTATGCGTACATACACATGGCGGTTCTCTCAGAGGCATAGTTTGTGGCTAACAAAACAATAAAGTACGAAGAACACAAGTTGTAATTACCTGTCATGAAGCATTTGAAGTAGAACAGTATTTTCTGTATGACAGGGAACTTTTTGCTTTTGGTTGTATTTTTGTTTCTATTTTTGTAGTTTGGAGTCTCACTATGTAGTTGTTCAGGCTGGCCTTTCAATTTAACTTTGTAGCTCAGGATGGCAGTGAACTCACTACAGCCCTCCTACCTCAGCCTCCCGAGTGCTGGGATGATAAGCATGTGCCACCGCGTCCAGCTACTTCTGGTTTTTAGTGACCTAAGACTTTTCTGTTGCAAGAACACTACAAGTGTGGTTTGTGTTGGGTTTTGTTTTGTTTGAGTTAGTTTGGTTTTTTGAGACAGGGTCTTGCCATGTCGTTGAGGCTGGCAACAGTCAGGAGGCTGCGGCAGGAGGATCTCCTGAGTTCATGACCAGTCTCAACTCCTTGAAGCCAGCCTAGGCTACATAGCAAGAATCAGTGCCCTCCCCCAAGAAAAGTCACAACAAAATGATAATATACTATTTATTGGGTTGTAAATAAAGAGTCTGAGGTGAGTAAAGCACGGATTTGGAGTTTAGAGAATCCTGAGTTATAGTGCCAGTTCTGCCAGCTGTCATCCTCATGGCCGTAAGCAAGGTAGGTTTCCCTGTAGGAGTGCCTCGCTGTGGGGTACCAGGGTGAGGGCCCTCAGCCCTGCATCCCGCGAAGGCCATAGCCTCCTGCTGTGCGGCGCTGAGGGCTGGGAGGGTACTGGCTGCAGGGTGACTCAGTCTGCACTTCCGTGTCTGGCGCTGTCACCCTGGGACCCTGCCACCCTCCGGGCTGATGACTGGGCAGTGCTGGGCGGCTCTGCCTCCCACTTCTGCCTGGCAGGTGCCAGGGCCTTGAGCGTTGGCAGCCTGGCTTCCCCATGGCTGGGCAGCCAGGTCTCCTGGGCCCCACGGGACTGGCTGCAGGAGATCCCCCACGCCAGCCGTCTCTGCGACGGAGGACTTGGCACCTCTTGGGCCTCGTCTCCTGGTGCGGTTTTGTAAATATTAATTTGCATGTGATTGAATAAAGTTGCATGAGTGAGTTTTCTAGGGCTAGAAGTGGAAGCCAGGGCCTCGGCACGTGCTGGGCTGCGTTTGCAGCTGGAACAGGTGATTGGAGCGTGTGTCCTTCCTGCTAGCGCCTGATCTGGAACCTTGTGTGTCTCTGTGACCTGTGTTGAGTACAGTTGGCAGAGGCGCTTCATACGTGCACTCAGGAGACTGAGGCAGGAGGGTCACCCCGAGTTGGAGGCCAGCCTGAACTCCATAGTGAGTTCAAGGGCAGCCTGAATTACACAGTGAAACCCTGTCTCAAAACACCAGAAAAAAAAAAAGTGGAAATATTTGATCAGGCAAGGGTCCTGTAGACATTGCTGGCAAGTGCCATACTTTCTTTTTTTTGAGGTGGCCTCATTGTGCAGTCCAGGCTGGCCTCAAACTCAAGGAGGTCCTCCTGCCTCAGCCTCCCAAGTGCTGGGATTACAGGGGTGCACCACCACACCTGGTGTAAATGGCAATACTTTCTATAAAAATTACATTTGATTTTTTTCTAGTTATAAATTGGTACATGAACACTGTTAGAAATTTAGAAAATACAGAAGAATAAAAGTGACTGCTCACAGTTCCTCTGGCTCTGACCTTTTCATAGTTTAGTGAATTCAAGTCTTTTATAATAAAACAAGTGAATACATCGGCCTTTAACTTTCTTTCTTTCTTTCGTTTTTTTTTTTTTTTTTTTTTTTGGTACCAGGGATCGAACTCGGGTCCTTGCTCTTAAGAGGCAGGCGGTGGAACCACTGAGCTAAATCCCCATCCTAAGTTTCTTTTTTAACAAACTCGAATCTGTTGGCGCCTGGTTTGGACTCTGCTCTTTGCGCTCCCTTCCCCTGCTAGAGGCCTTGGCCGGCCACAGGGATGCTGCCCTTCCCCACGGGCCTCTGCGGCCCGTGAGCACAACCAGTCTCGGAAAGCGCAGGAGAGTAGGGGTTGTGATGCTGAGGTGATTGCGTTAAACATTCACCTGAAACCTGGAGTGAAACCTGGAGTGACGGGTAAGGGTAAGGAGAAACGGCCCGGGAGTGGGCAGTTAGTGCGAGTAGAAACTGCTGGACGATTCCAGTGGAAACATTTTTTCAGGAAAAAAAAATAGAAACAAACCAAAACAAAAAATAACTAGAAAGCGAGTGTTGTGAAAAGTTCCCAGGGGCTTTTGTCCTGCTCCGGAGCAGCTGCACAGTGGATGCTTGGGAAGTTGGAGCGCCCCGCCTGCTGAGCTCCTGGCCCCGCCTTGCAGAGCGCGGGGAGTTCCTGCTGGAGGATCCAGGTCCCGACCTCCGCCCCGGTCTGCAGTTGCTGTCTGCTGCGCGCTCTTCCTCCCGCTCTGTGGCCCTGCTCGGGGCTCCGGGCCCCGCCGTGGAAGGCTCGGCGTGCCTGGCCTCTGCTGTGGTGGCTGCGGCGGCCAGGTGCTGCTCTCCTGAGAGCAGAGAGGGGGTGGCCGAGTCAGTTTCTGGGGGCCCCTGGTCCCCGGCTTCTCTGTCCCAGGGAGGGAGGGCCTCAAGAGCTTCTGGCCGGCCTGGCCTTCCGCTCTGCGGACTTCCGTCAGCTCCTGGCTGTGCTCCCTGCTCGCTGTGGGAGTGGAGCTTTGCCACTCTGCCCTCTCCCCACCACGCGAAGCCAAGGCCCGCTCTGAGGCTTTAAATTCACAGCTCCAGCGCCAGAGAAACGGGATTCTCAGGGGCCAGAGACGGGGAGATAAGTGGTGAAACCCAGCAGTTAAAGGCAGAGCTCCGTGGGGGAGCTGGGTGGGAGTACAGCAGGTTTATTCCTGTTACGGGTCTGACCCACGGCCTTCTTTTAAAAATTCTTTTATTCTTTTCTTTAATTTTTAGATTTTTTTTGAGGCAAGGTCTTGCTATGTAGTTCAGGCTGGTCTTGAACTCATCATGTAGCCCAGGCTCCTCGCACTCATGGTCATCCTTCTGCCTCAGCCTCCCCACTGCTGGGATCACAGGCGTGCACCATCAGGTCCAGGCAACAGCCTTTTTTTTTTTTGGTGCCTGGGATTGAACTCGGGACCTTGAGCTTGGGAGGCAGGCGGCGGCACCACCGAGCTGAATCCCAGGCCCACACAGCCTTTCTTTACTGGTCTTTGGTGTTTGTGTTAGTTTCCTTCTGATATCTGGGAGATTCGACATTTAGAGATAAAAAATTACACTCACACAGACAAGCTCCGGACTCCCTGAAGGCGCTGCAATTTCAGGAGATGGTTCTTGGCCATTTCCCAGAGTACAGGTGTCCCTGTGGACCCCGCACTGCAGTTTCCCCAGCGCTCGGGGTTTCCTCATGTCGGTGGGCGCTGGCCCCTGACTGACTGACTAGTCGCTGGGATCCCTTTCATGAAGCTTTGTTCTCTGAAAACCCCTCTCATCCTATACCATTTTCAGGCACAACGAACCTTTGTAAGGAAATTACAGGTTGGAGAATTCCTGTGCGGGCGGAGGCGCTGTGTGTGGCCAGCTGAGCGCGTCTCCTGCCGCTCCGGCGCCCTCTCCCGGTGCTGCCCCGCGTGCTCTGCTGGACGCCGGTGCGGTGCTGGGGAAGGACTCAGGGCGACCAAGCCCAGCTCGTCCATCGGCTTGGAGTCCCGCGCCGGCTGGCGGGTGTCCGGAGCCTGCAGGGCCCAGGGACGAGCCGCTGTCCGGTCCTGGTTCCTTCCTAGACCATTGGGGGAAGAGGGGGTCGCACGGCTGCGGAAGCACTGGCCGGCAGGAAGCGGTACGTGGTTTTCCAGGCAGGGAAGTGGTCACATCTACCTGACCCCACCACTGCTCATCTCTAGGACGATGTGAGGCACAAGGTTCACCTGAACACCTTCGGCTTCTTCAAGGACGGGTACATGCGGGTGAACGTTACCAGCCTCTCTGTGCAGGACCCCACGGGGGCCGCCGACAAGGACGCTGCCGTGAGTCCCCCACACCCCAGCCGCAGCTTCCTTACCTTAGGGCAAAGCCCCCTTCAGTTGGTTTTCCTCTTTGTGTTTTGGTTGGTTTTGGTTTTTGGAGACAAGGTCTCGCTTTGTAGTCCAGTCTGGCCTTAAACTTGTGGAAGTCGCTCCTCTTGCCTCAGCCTCCCGAGTACTGGGGTTAGGTGTGTGCCTCCAGGCCTGGCTTTTTTTTTTTTTAAGTTAGTTTACTTTCAACACAAGTTGTAATTCTGTTTTTTTTTTTTGGTACCGGGCATCAAACTCGGGTCCTTGCGCTTGCGCAGCAGGCGGCGAAACCACTGAGCTAAATCCTCGGCCCATAATTCTTGAATAAATCTAGTAATTAGTGATTTTAGTTGAGCAGCTGTTCCCTTATACAAAATGAATGCAAGAAAGACTGGGGGAAGCCAGGCCTCAGCACCCTCTGCTTGCTGAGTAAGAAAGGTAGGCACGGCAGTGTGGATGTTTACCTCTCCCCGTTGCTCCCACCCTAGATTGGGTTCAGCCTGGACCGCACGAAGAATGACGGCTTCTCTTCCTACCTGGTGAGTGCCCGGCCAGCCTGCCGTGGGAGGGACCCTGGGCCCGGCCCCGTATGCACCCGCAGGTGGTGAGCGACCGCCCTCCCTTCTCAGGGAGAAGACGTGAACTACTGCATCCTAAGGAAACAGTCTGTCTCTGTCACTCTCCTAGTCTTAGACATCTCCAGAAGTGAGTAAGTATTCCCTTGTCCCTTCGGTGCTGGCCGAGAGCTGTCCCTGGCATCTGCGTGGGCCACGGCCTCGAGGAGGTGGCCGGGGGGCTGTCCCCTGTCCCCAGGAGCGGCAGGGCGGGGCATGCAGGGCAGGGAGGCCGTGTGGGCTGAGGGAGCAGTGAGAGGCAGCTGGGCACGGCCCGAGGAGCAGGCTCTGTAGGAAGCAGCTCCCTCGGGCACTGTGCTCCCTGCCTCATGGTGATGGGCACTCAGCGAGGCCTGGGCTGCATCCCAGGCCTCGCAGCCTGCAGAGGGGGAGAAGAAAACAGATCCCAGTGAGATCCCCAGCAGCCAAGTCTCTCAACACATTTGCCCTTGGAGGAACCAGGGGACTTGCTGTTTTCAGGTTCAGCACTTCTCCGCCCCCCGTTGGATTGCTGAGGCGTCTTTGAAGGGGCTCAAGGAGCTGGGGGCTGCATTCAGAAGCAGGGGCGGGCAGGCCAGTGAGGGGGCTGCTTTCCAACCAGGAAAGCCGCCTTGCTCCCCACAGCGCCTTGGTTGCCGCTTAAGAAAGTTGAGTCTGCCAGCCGCTTGTGGGGCCCGGGTACAGTTGGCAGTAAGCTCGAGTGCCTGGGTGTAGCCTGGCCTGAATCTCAGGACAGTGACCCCGCTGTCAAGGCCCTGGTCAGGGGCAGGGCAGGGAACAGTGGCTGACGGTGCAGGCGGGAACCGAGCCTTTCTCCTCTGCTCTGCCCTCCTTCCCTGCATCGTCCTCGGCCAGGTGGCCCCAGCTGGTGATGGCCCTGCTTCCTGTTCCCATGTAGCCAGGGGAGCGGGAGCCTTCCCTCTGGAGGGGGCCAAGCCTGACCGTGCCGACTTTGGTCCCAAGTCTGCCCTGGTGTGGGCACTGCCACTGCCCCTCGGCCTGGCAGGCCTGCACAGCGGGTCTGTGCTGAGGGAGGGCGGAGTGGCCATCCGCACCCCCGGTAGCAACGAGATGCTTCTGCTCTGTTGTGCAGTTTGCCAGGCGTTAGGGTATTTGGGCGGCGTGAGTCCAGCAGCCATGCAGCGGCGAGGACCCTGGCTTGGGAGGGAATTCCAGGCCCTTGCCCGCGCCTTCCTGGCAGTGGCGGGTCACAGCCGGCCCAGGCACTGGGTGAGCTCTCCAACCTGCAGCCCTGCCCACACGCAGGTTCCAGCCCTTCGTCGGAGTCAGCCCCTGTAGAGTAGCGATGGTGGGCCCACTCCGCATCCTTAGGACCTCCTGGAGACGATGGTTCCGAGGCTGCTGCGGCCCTCGCTGGGGCCCTGCTTTGAGCTTTCTTCCTCTTCTCTGGCTCCACCGCAGAGTGAAAATCAGGTCTCCGCCGGAAGCTGGTACCCAGCTGCCCAAGATCATCTTTGGCAGTGGTGAGAACGTCCCCGGGCAGAGCCAGGGGCTGGACACGAGCCCTGAGTCCCGGAGCAGCGGCAACCAGACTCAGAAAGCACAAGGTGAGCAGAGGGCACAGCCCAGCTCAGCACCTGCTCGGTGGCTGACCTGTTCTGGGTAAAGCAAACCTGGTCCGCTGTTGTCTGAGTTTCATTTTGGAGGTTGTACAAAAATGCATAATCCTCAAACAAGGATGTGGGAACTACAGAGCAAATGGAAAAAGCAGTCATCTTTCTCATTCCCAGTCGAATTTTAGTAATTTATGTTTCCTTTTCAGCTTGTGTCCTATGTCTAGGAATTGCTTTTTAGAACTCACAGTCATGTGCGTGGCTTTCTGTCTGTGCCTGTTCGCGTCACCTGAACGTGCTTCATGTGCATCGAATGGCCCATCACAAGCTCACTGTGGGCTGTGATTCCTGTCTCGCTGCCTGTGCCCATGCCCGTGCCCTGCGCCAGGTGCTGCACATGTTACTGTCCCGTGGTGCCCACTGGCACCAGTCCTACTGGTCCCACAGGCCACTGCTGTTTGCAGCCGGCAGGAGCTGTTCTCGCCTTCTACGCAGCCTTCATCCTGAGGAGGCGCATTCCATTCCCAGGGTGCTATAAACCTTGCAGCATTGTAGTTTCTCTTTTTTTATCTCCTTCCCTCCATTCCTTCTTTCTCTTCTTTGTGTCTTTCTTTCACTGGGAATTGAACCCAGGGCCTTCATGCTAAGCTGTATCCGCATCCCTTTTTTTAATTACTTACTTTGAGACTGGCTATCACTGAGTGTCTGAGTTGGGCTCAAACTTACAATCCTCCTGCCTCAGCCTCCCAGAGTGCTGGGATGACAGGGGTGTGCTACCACACTGGCTTAGAATTCTTCAGACACAGAAACTTTTATATGTGTGAAACTTTCCTTAGAATTGGTTATTTGAATTGGAATTTGTGACTCAAACCATAGAAGTGTTTTTGAGAATGTTAACACATTTTCAGATTCTTTTACAAATGACTTAGGTGAATTTATACTCCTATTGCAAATATGTAGAAATAGTGTACACACTGCTGTGTCCTGCCCAGTACTGGGCATTTAGTTTTTGTAAAAGTTCTATAATGCTGAGCATGGTGGTTCATGCCTGTAGTGCCAGCTGCTCAGGAGGCTGAGGCAGGAGGATTGCTTGAGCCCAGGAGTTTAAGGCCAGTCTTAGCAATATAAGGGGACCCTGTTTCAAAAAGAAGAGAAAAAACCCCCATAGAATGAAAGGTATAAAAGGTATTCTTGTTCTCGTATTGACATTTATTACCAGGGCTACACATTTTCTTTTTTGTGTGTGGCACTGTGGATTAAACCTGGAGCTTTCTCACTGAGCTATGCGCGGCTGCTCATATGCTGAGTAACCATTTATGTTTATCTCCTCTTTCATTACCTGTCAGGGGGGCCGGGGATTTAGCTCAGTGGTTTCGCTGCCTGCTGCGCAAGCGCAAGGACTCAAGTTCGATCCCCAGTACCAAAAAAAATAAATAAAAATAAATAAAATAAAATCATTACCTGTCAGGCCCATCTGAAGATTTATGTGAGTTCCTTAAAGATCATGTACTACTTGTTATATGATTTGTACATTTTCCCCTCTGTTTGTGAAAACTCAGTCCAAGCTGAAAGCACACAGAGGGGCCGATTGTGTGCCGGTGTGGTCAGGTCTGCATGCTGCCCCTTCTCGTCCCGCCCCATGGTGCCCCTGTAGCCGCCCCTGGTTAGGAGAATTCTCCGCGGCCCTCCCCTTTCCCTTCCCCTTCCTTCCTGCAGAGAGCTCCAGCTCCCCTCTTCGCACCAGGAGACTCCTATGTGGAACCAGGCTCAGGCCCGGCCTGTCCCTCGAGGGAGCCCTGCCCATCCCAGCACACTTGCCGTGGGAAGGCGAGACACTGGCCACAGTGCGGCTCCGGGGAAGCGTTTGCCCAGCATGCACCGGGTACTGGCTCAGTCTTAGGCCCCACACACAAAACTACACGTTACACTAGTATTGGCTCTTCATCTTTCCATGTGTGTAAGTAGATCTCACGTATTACCTGCTCTGTGAACATTTCTTTGTTTGCAAGCACGACCACATAGAAGGTAAGGAAGTGGTTCCACACAGTCTGCAGCAGTGTGCCTCAGATATTCACCATTCGGCTCCCAGCTGGTTCTCCCTGTTGCCATTGATTTGATAACATCAAACACTCTTCGATTGGCTGCTTCTGCAGCTCACAAATTGTTGGGGCCCTGAGGAGCTGGCAGCCCGTGAGATTGGATGGTTTTAACATAGTCACCATGGGGCCGTAATTCATATCTCACTCCTAGGTGGCTCTGAGCCACCTGTGGTACAAGTGGGTGCGTCCCCTCGGCGGGCTGGGATAGTCGTGCATTTATCACCGGCGGTTCAGGCTGGCAGGAACGTGTTATGGACTTCACAGGAGACAAGCTGGAGAGCCTCATAAACCGTACTGCAGGGTGCTGGGCTATGAAGTAACAGCTTTTCATTCTTGTGCTTCCAGATGGTGGGAGGTCTGAAAGAAGCACGGTGGACGCAAAGGTAAGAACTCACTGGCCACCCCGTGCTCAGCTTGCCTGGATGCACGTGTGTGCTGTGTGTGTGCCTGTGTGGAAGTGTTCCCACGTGTGCCTGAGTGCGCGCCTGATCCGCAGGGAGCCAGAAGCGGCTGCATTTTCCTGGGGTCGTCAGCTGGCCTGAGGGTGGCCGAGAGCCCCAGGCAGCAGCTGTCACCAGGCCACGCTGGGATCTGCTTGGGGAAGGGGTCTGAGCACTGGCAGTTTGGAGCAAAAGGTGCTAGCCATCTGCGTGGACAGCAGGGAGAGGTCGTAGACACTGCAGGGCCAGACGAGATGTGGGCACGGACACCAGGAAGCTGTCGCCAGCTTTCCGTCCAGAAACGCAGGGGGATGGTGTAAGCCAGGACCCAGCTCTGAGTCGTGCAGTCACCTCAGCAGGGACCAGGAGCGCTCGTGAGGACCCCGCGTGAGGGGTGTCCTGGCTGGCGTGGGCCCTGGCGTGTGGACGAGGGGATCTGTGGGCTGCTGCGGGAAGGAGGGGGTGGGAGGGCCGTTCGGCTTGCAGAGACGTGGGTGAGAGAGTAAGGAGGGGAACCGGAGTTCTAATTCCCAATTTCGACTTCGTGAGGAGGCGTCGAAGTAGCAAGGTTTCCTTTGGGTCTGTTTGTGTCCCCTGCTGTGCACAGGACTGCCTGCCGCTTTGTGGAGGGAGATTCGCAGGGCTTGGTGTCAGTGGCTTCCGTGGTAGGGATGGGTCCTCCCTTCCCAGGCAGCAGGCGCCTGCTGCACAGAGGGTAATGTGGTCATGCGGAGTCGGGCAGGGCGCCCGCCGGGTGGGCATCCTCGGTCCCCGAAGCTGGAGCGGGCAGGGAGCCAGGGCGCAGGCGCTGGAGGAGAGCGGTCTCAGACCCAGCTTGAAAGGACAGGAGGTTTCCTTTCAGAAGCAGTCTTAGGGTTTCAGAAGAATGTGGTTTTAAAGTTTAATTTAATGAGGGTACTTTTCCTCCTCCCCAGAATCACCCTAAAGCAGTGTCATTTTTTAGGCACCGGCAGAGAAATCCTTCTCCATTCGTAACAACGCCGGGGCCGTCTCCTTTCAGGTATGGCTTCTCGGGTGAGGTTGTGTACGCAGACTTTGTGTCTGCCGAGGAGCCCTGAGCCTGCTCCCTCTGTCAGCCCCGCGGATGACAAATGGCTAGCAGGCGTCGTCCCCGCTTCTCAAGTCCCGGGTCCCCAAGCCTGAACACCTTGCTGAGTGTCCACGTTCAGGCCAGGTCTGGTGGCCGATCCATGGCTCCCTGCCCCTCTGGCCCCACCCTGTGCCCCCTCATGTCCCACGCCGTCACTCTCCTGAGAGGCCCTCGGGCTGAGGGCACTGTGGTTTAGAGAGGAGTTCACAGAGCCCTGGCCTGCCTTGAGGTGCTGGCACGGGATCAGGCAGTGGGCGGTCTCGGAGCTGTGGCCTGCCGGGGGGGGGGGGGCGGCTGGGCTGCCAGTGTAGCATCTCAGGAGAGCAGCAGGGCCTGTCCAGGTCTGTGTGCTGTCCCCGAACAACCACCCTGCCTTTCCCCGGGAGGTTCATGGATGGAGGTGACGTAGTGCCTGTCCGGAGCCTGCACCCTGAGGCGCTTCATTGTGTATCCATCTCTGAAAGCCCCCGTGCACACCCACTCCTCGGATTGCCTTCAGCCTAGACTCTTTTGCCCGTTTAACTCTGCTTGTGTTTCGTCACCTTCGGGAGAACTGCCGACAGTGACCAGAGCCTGCCGTGCGCATCTGCCCAGTCCCGGGCGGCATCCCATCTGTCACCGGCCGGTGAAGCCAGTGTGGCCTGGCCCCTGTCGTCTCCCTGACCCCAGCTCCTCTCCTTTCCCTGCCCACTCCATGTCCTCCCTCAGGCTACCTCGCCCTTCCTGCCCTGCATTGGTTGTGTGCCCGGCCTGGGCCTGAGTCTTTCCAGCTGGCTGGTGTGTCCTGGCCCCAGCCCCCTGCAGCCTGCCTGCTTTGTCCCCACTCCAGCCTCCGAAGCATCTCTGAAACCTTTGTCTCAGTTTTAACCTCCCCTGGATCTGTCTTTTAGAACTAAAAGTTACTGTTTAGAGAAGTTTCTTTTTCTCTACCTGAGCGGACTGAAATCTGTGCTCTCACGTGTACAGATGCACATTTGGGGCATAGTTTAACAGATTAATGCTCGCAGCTGAGTCTGAGAACAGAGCACGGTCAGTAATCACCTTGGTAACCGTCTCCGGTGCAGGAGGTGGAACAGCTCTGGCCACTCAGAAACCCTCCCGATGCTGCAAACCCCCTACAGACTCCACGGTGCCGGGGGTGCTGGGGCTCACCTGCCATCCTGGCGCTGGGGAGGCTGGGCCACGAGGGTCCTAAGTGTAAGGCCAGCCCACCCTGCATGGCTAGTTCAAGGTCAGCCTGAACTTCACAGTAAGACCCTGCCTCAGAGCAGAGCAGCCATCATCATTATCTGCTCCTTTTTTTGTTCATTTACTTGTAGTTCTAAACAGTGTCTTTAAGACAGACTCCTTTTTATTGCTAGAACTTTTTGCTGATAGTAAAAAATGTGCTTAGAATTGACCAAGGAGTCATCCTGTGGTCATGTGTAGATTGTTTCAGTTTACATTAAACTTCATTTGAACCCATGAAATGTAAGAAAAACAGAAAAACGTAGAAAATGTAGCTTTTGTTACTGAAATCATAGGTGTAAAATTTGATGAGGGGATACTGGTCTTTTTCAACAACAAGATGAGCCTCCTTTCTTCTTCAAGAGTGTTTTTACCTAAAGAACAAAATAATACACTTGCTTGAAAACTAGATAGCTGCATCTCAGATCATTTTGGCAGATTTCCACCCCAAACCCTCACAGACATGTTGAGCTGCAATAAAGCAAGCATTGGAAAGTGTGAACTGTAGACTCCAGGTGCAGGTGGAAGGTGTTCACTGCACCATTCCACCCACTTCCGCTTGTCTGTGTGCTCGGACATTGTTCTAAAATACTGGGAAGGGACCGTAGGGTAAGGACACATCCATTTAAGGTCCCTTCTGGGAGAATTTGATTCATCTGTTTTCTTCTGTCCATTAATATTCATCAGTTATTTCTAAGTTTTAGAAACGAGCAGAGGTAGAGTTGAGCAGGGTGGTACATGCTTGTAATCCCAGCACTCGGGAGGCTGAGGCAGGCTGAGCTTCATAGTGAGTTCAAGGCCAGTCCAAACTACCAAAAAGAAAAAGAAATTAGCAGCAGCTTTGAGTACCGTTCAATTTTTTTCTTCACTTTCAGTTTTTCTTTAACATCAGCACGGATGACCAAGAAGGACTTTACAGTCTTTATTTTCATAAATGCCCGAGCAATGAGTGGCAGTCGAGTGACAAGTTTTCATTCAGCCTTGATGTAAGTGCCACCTGGGGACTGTGTTTTGGGGATTTTACCAATGTAAAACTCAAGAGGTCTGTTTTTCTATAAGAAGAGTTGTTTTCAGCTGGGCGTGGTGGTGCATGCCTGCCTATAAACCCAACACTGGGTGGGTGAGGGAGGAGGAGCCCAAATTCAAGCCCAGCCCAGGCAGTTTAGAGATTTAGCAGGACCCTGCCTCATAATAAAATGAGCTGGCCATGGAGCTCAGTGCAGAGGATCACCACCAAAAAAGTTTTGTTTTGTGGTGCCAGGGATTGAACCCGGGGCTTTGTGCACACTAGGCAAGCAGCCTACCACTGAGCTGCATTTCCATCCGCCAAGATCAGGTTGCAGAAGCACTTCGTGAAGAGAAAAGTGGGGCCAGAGGCCCCACTGTGGTGGGCGGGATGCCAGGCCAGAGGCCCTGAGTGGAAGGAAATATGAAGCCAGTCAGGCTGTGTTTCTGCTTCCGCCCCAGTGTGGACAGTGTGGAGGTTCTCCGCGGTGCCTGCTCTCCTCAGTGGAAGCGAAGCCGCTGAGATTCCAGCTTGACAGTGAGGGGTGATCTGTTCCCAAAGTGAAGATCTCTCTCGCGTTGGTTTCAGATCAGGATCGTGGAGAAGAACCCCGATAGCTACCTCTCCGCAGGGGAGATCCCTCTGCCCAAGCTCTACATCTCCATGGCCTTCTTCTTCTTCCTCTCTGGGACCATCTGGATCCACACCCTCAGGAGACGGCGGTGAGCTGACCCCCAGGGCCTTTCACGGAGCTTGGGGGTTGGTGCGTCCCACCTTTTGCCTGGTTCTCCACTGGGGAGGGCTGAGCCCAGCAGCCCTGCTGTCCACATCTTCCCTCAGCAGTGGGAGCCCTCAGGGCACCCTGAGGCCTCTGCACCGGGGTGCTGGCCCCTCCCATTGAGCTGGACTTCTGCCTGACGTCCCGCAGAGGACAGTGCGGGAGCAGGGCTTGTGCACAGCGGAGACCCTGGCCCACCATGGGCGCCCGGTCCCTTTCGCGCTGTCCCTTTCTGAGAGGGGTCAGGCGAGAGGTCCCACTGCCCGCTCCCAGGCCGGCTGATGCTCCCTGCCTGGTGACCCCTGGTGCCTGACAGGAGGAGGCCTGGCTCTGGGCCTTTGTTCAAACCCCCGAGGCCAAGAGCTCCTGGAGAAGGCCTGGGGAGCAGCCAAGAGCAGGGAGAGCAGAGCAGTGATGCCCAGGTAGGGAGCAGCAGCAGTGTGGAGTAGCCTGCTTGTTGTGTTAGAAGGCCAGTGAGCAGGTCAGCAAGAGCGTATGAGTTGCCGCTGTAGTGCCTAGCAGTTGAAATTCAGGAAACAATTAATCTCTGTGGCGATGCTGGTGCTGGCAGTGCGGTTGCCTGTACCCATGTGTCATGATGTCCTTTATGCCTGCCAGGTGGACAGTCCACGTGTGCATGAGGTTATCAGGCAGGGTTACACAGGAAGGAGGAATCCCACGCATTCAGGTCATGAAGGATTTTGTGGGGTTTTTTTAGAGAAACTTGCTCTTTTACTAGAAAAGTAGGAACCGCAGGTCTGAGGCTTTGTGACTTCTGGTCTGCCTTGCTTCACCGTAAGCCTTTCTCCTCAGCTCTGAAAGTGGACAGTAGTAATCCCCCTGCCTTCCTCTGAGTGCTTTTTGTTTTCCATTTTTCTTTTCCTTTTTTCTCTTTTTATTTGTGGTACTCGGGGTTGAACCAAGGGCCTTCCCACTGAGCTCCCTCCTCAGTCCCTGCCCCCCTTTTGAGCCAGGGTCTTGCTAGCTTGCCCAGGCTGGGCTTGAATTTGCAGTCCTCCTGCCTCAGCCTCCCAGAGTGTGAGGATTACAGGCTCTTGCTGACACACTGGGCTCCGCTAAGCACTTGAGATCCTCAAATCTGTGTGATTTAAGCTGAGGGAGCCTTGCAAATCAGGGTGCTATGCAGGTAAAACTGCTTACCTGCCAGCTGTTGCTGCTGTTTTCACTTCCTGCACTCGGTGATGGTGAGGCACTCTCACTGGTTCCCCGGTGCAAAATTGTGACAAGAGTTTCAAGTGTCTGGTTACACGAGGCTGCCCCATTCTGCTATGTTTGGTGTTTAGCTCCTTGCTGATGGGTCAGCTCCACACAGAATGGTGCAGTTGAAGCACCCCATGCTTTGCAGGAGCCTCAGAGCAGCTGTTAGGCTGGGGACTTGAGGGGCTTGAGGACACAGGACCCCCTTTGGCCAGGCATATCTCCGAGGTGGGTCCTTAGAGCTGGAAGGACGGAGGGCATCTGTCACATGAATTTATGGAGGCCTCACAGAGCTGGGGCTTCAGCCACCTGACAGGCTCCTTTCCGCCTGTAAGTGTGGTGGCCCCGGGTGTGGGGCAGGGACTCAGGGCCTTGGGTGGTGGGGACAGGAGGGAGGCGGCCGATGACTCTGGAGTCCTCTCTGTGTGGGTTCAGCTCAGCTCAGCTCAGCTCCTCTTCTGGCAGCACGTTGGGGGTAGGGTGCCCCGTTTTCAGAAGAGGTCACTGTGGTCCCTCGAGTTGTCAAGGGAGATCAGTCTTCAAGCCCAGGCGGCCCTGGCTTCGTCCCTGCCACTGTGTGGGGTCTCTGCTGGGGCCCACAAGTCAGGGCTGCCCGGATGTGGGGGTGAGCGCGGTTCAGTCTGCACGCTGGGTGACTCTCATGCTGTGCAGTAGTGACAGGCTGCTCGGCCTTCACTTCCTTTTTGACCTGCAAGTCATGGGCACAGGAACAGGACGGTACCAGGGACGTCAGCCTGAAGGGAAGCCAGTCAGTGTGTGTCACCCCAAGGTGTGTTCCCTCCCCTCTGACCCTGCCCTTCATTTCCTGTCCCTCTCGTCCCTGCCGGCTGTGGGTCCCCCTGAGTGCTCAGCAGACAGCCTGGGTGTTTGTGGATTCTCTGGGGTTCGGATTGGTGTCTCGTGTGCTTTAGATTGATGGGGACCATGCAGCCTGTGGTGTGCCCTCCCCATCCAGCCACACTGCGACCCGCGGGGGAGCAGACCGGAAGGGATGTGCTGGTCACGGCCTGCCTCAGCCATCAGGTTTCTTTCAAGGCCACCAGAGGGTCCCGTTTGCCTGGCTCGTCCGCTGACGCCTGAGTGTCTGCTCGCCCGAGGGGGTGCACTAGTGCCCCGCAGGGTTTGGGTTTCTCTGGATGGTGGTGCGTGCACGTGTTAGCCTTCACGCCTGCCTGTGTCCCTCGCCATTTCCTGTCAGCTTTCTGTCCTTGTTGCCTAGCACAACGCTGATCCTCCTATGTCTTACCCATTGCCGTTTTCCCCCAGGTCTTGAACTACCCTGTAGTGTTACTGTTGAATGAAAATCTTTCATTTTAGTGCAGTTGAGCTATCTAACTAGTTTCTAGGCAGTGCCCTTGGAGGAGGCCTTTTCTGCCCTGAGGCTATGGAGTGTGCATTGTGTTGGCGCCCTGAAATGTCCCGAATCTCCCCGTCTTCTTTCCTGTGAGCTCAGGGTCACGCTGGTTTCCCGTGCCCCCCATCGGTGTGGTGTCAACTGCAATCATCCTGCAGCAGGCGTCTGCTCCAGTCTGTCTGTGGGCTCGCTGTCCTCTGCCCTGTCGGCCCTTCTGTCTGCAGACAGCGACACCTCAGTGCCACACACCTTCCCCCTCACTCAAGCCCTTCTTTGCATACTTTCTTCCAGGTTCTCCACTCTTCTCCATGGTGGTCCACGGGTCCTAAAGGCAGGGGGTGAGGGGGACCAGGAGTGAGTGAGGGCAGAGGGCGACCCGCGCTTCCCCCTCACCGCCGCTGCCTCCTCCTCACACTGCTCCCTCCTTCACTGGGCCCCACACTATTTCGCACACCTGTCTGCCTCCTCCTGCCGAGCTGCTTCCCGCGCTGCTTCTCGGGAGGACACTTCAGTGTGCAGATTTCCATGTGGTCAGGACTGAGCTGCTGTGTCTCTGAATCCACCACATTCAGTCATCTGCAGAGACACCTGAGGCCTCTGCCCGAGACCACTGCTACCTCAGAAAGTGCCGGGCTTGGTGGCACATACCTGTCATCCCACCACTCAGGAGGCTGAGGCAGGAGGATCACAAGTTCCAGGCCAGCCAGGATGCATAGTGAGCCAAAGTCACCCTGTGGTGTGGAGCAGAAGCTTGTCTGTAGATAAATAAAGTCTGTCCACACATACTTCCGAACTTGGTGTGTGCGGTTTGCTTTTGTGGTGTGTCCCGCCTGCCTATGAGTGCACCTGGTGCTTTGGCTGAGCTTGAGAACCTTCTGCTAACCCCTCTCTGCTTTTGCAGGAATGACGTGTTCAAGATCCACTGGCTGATGGCAGCCCTACCTTTCACCAAGTCTCTGTCCCTGGTGTCCCATGCGGTGCGTATTAGCGTCCTGAGTGTGGTCCATGCCCTGCCTGTGTGTGGGGGAACTGGAAGCCAGCCCCGGGGAAGTGACTGCAGCCGTCCGGATGCTAGGCCCATGACAGCTGGTGCTACATAGAGCCCGGGGCTGTTCTAGAGTCCTGGCTCCCTGGTTTTACTTCCTTGCTTCCACTGTTTCTTTTTTTTTTTTTTTGGTACCGGGGATTGAGCTTGGGACCTTCTGATGGCAGGGCAGGTGGTGGAACCACTGAGCTAAATCCCCGGCCCTTCCATTGTTTCTTGAGGCGAGCATACCGCCTGCTCAAGTGTTTCCAGGACTGCCTTCATTTTCCAGTGCTCCCTCATGTTCCTGCTGGATTTGAAGCTCAATGTTAGCTGACTTCCCTGAGAGAAAATCCATACTATAAAGATTGAGGCGTAGAATGAGCTTCCAGGCAGCATAGAGTCCCACACCTGTGGTCCTGGAGTCCTGGGAGGCCAGGGCAGGAGGATCACAGATTCAAGCCCAGCCTGGGTAACTTAGAGTCCGTGTCTCGGCAACATCTTCAAAGAGGAGGTAGCGTAGTGGTAGTACACCTGTGTAGGATACAGAGACCCTGGGCGCCAGTCCCAGAACCGCCAGAAAGCCGAGCTGGAGCAGAGCAGAATCGAGCTTCAGCTTTGAGTCTCAGGAACCTGGTGCAGGTGGCCATGGACTTGGCCGGGGGGAGTCCGTGCTCTCCCTGTCTGTGGATGCATAAGGTACGCATAGACCGCCCTTGGGCCACCTCCCTGCTGCACTTGAAGATGATGTCAGGGGAAAAGTGAGACCATGTCTGGGTACAAGGTCAAGAAATGACCAGAAAAAGCCACAGTTACTGGGGATCCGGTGAGAGATTCTTTCTGGAGTAGCATAGGTAGTAAGTGATGGTCGCTTCAGCATCCTTTTTCCTGTCGGTACTGGACATTGAACCCAGGGCCTTCACCCTGACCTCCATCCTCAGCTCTTTTTATTTTTTACTTTGAGACAGGGTCTGGTTAAGTTGTTCAAGCGGGACTCAAACTTGAGGGACACTCCCGCCTCAGCCTCAGTGCTGGGATTATAGGCAGATGCCACCTCTTCTGGCTGTACATACAGTTCAGAGAGAATGAAAAGTGTGTGCGTTGCCATTAGCCTGGGGTTCTACCGGGAGGCATCTGGGGGCACTACTGAATCTCGCCACTTTAGTTAGCATGCATTGGTGGCCTCAGCTGTCTCCAAGTGTACAGGAGCTTTTTTAAAAAAGGAAAAATAGTTGAAGCCAGGTGATTAATTGTAGATTTTTTTTCTTTACTGGGTGGGCTGATTTATTTGCTGTGTAAGCAGCAGAGGTGTGAAGGATAAAGATCTTGGCTGGAATGTTGAAAAGACCTTGTGGCATTTAAACCTGGGAGGTTCTTAAGGAAAGAACAGCCAGCCATTTGCCAGCGATGATTTGTGCTGGGGAGCACCTGGCTGGGCCTCGGCGGCACCGAGTTTCCAAAGCTGCCCGCCACTTGCTAGTGCTCATGCGGTCCCCAGTGGGCCTCGTGGTGAGGGGTCCTCCCAGGTCCTGTGTGCTTCTCCACACGCTAGGAGAGGCCCGATCCACCCTTCTGACCCGCAGCTGTTGGTTTCAGATCGACTACCACTACATCTCCTCCCAGGGCTTCCCCATCGAAGGCTGGGCTGTGGTGTACTACATAACGCACCTGTAAGTCCGCGGGTGATCCTGAGCGGGTGTGAGCAGGTGTGAGCGGGTGTGAGGCCTTGGCGGGCAGGCACGCTGGGGTGTGGCTCGCTGCTGGAGCTTTTGCCTGAGCTGAGCACGGGTGGCCGAGGCCGTGGATTCAATCCCTAGCACCATAGAAAATCAGGAAATCAGGGAAGCCGAGGAGGCGGGCAGGTATGGCCCACCCTGAGGTGCCCGCGCCTGCTCTCCTGGGCCCCGACACCCAAGTGTGTGACCCTGGGGGGCTGGGGGACTTGGGGCTCGGGCTGTTGCTTGCTCCTTCCTCCTCCCTGCAGCCATTGGTGGTTCAGGCAATGCAGTGCAGTGCTGTGTGCGCACCTTACAGGAAGTGTTGCTCACGTGAGATGCCCTTCCTGAATCTGGCTGCCTGTCTTTTGCAAGGAGCAAGAGTAGAGGCCCATGGCGCCTGCGCACTCTGTTCTCTCCTAGTCTGAAAGGGGCGCTGCTGTTCATCACCATTGCACTCATTGGCACTGGATGGGCTTTCATCAAGCACATCCTTTCCGACAAGGACAAGAAGATCTTCATGGTTGTCATCCCACTGCAGGTACAGGAGCCCCTGCCGCGTGGCAGCTCCAGGGCGGCCTGGGAGGGGAGGTCAGCGCCCAGATCCTGCAGCTCCTGGCACTGGGGGCTGGAGATCAGCACCGCCTCTTTGGGTTTTCCCGGCCTGAGACTTTGGTCACCCACCGTGGCGGGAGGCACCGGAGTCCTGTCTTCTTTAGAAGCCTGGGTACCCGGTAATCTCCTCAGCACGGAGCTCTGGGGCTGTGATGGACACCAGTGGGTTTCAGCAAAGTGGAAGCCTCTCGAGGGCTGGGGGCGCCCTCGCCAGGTCTGAGCCCGCTCACGCTCCACGGAGCCCACCCTCATGCGGAGCCTTGGCAGGGCTCCGAGCACAGTCTGGATAGCGGGACAGCGCTCGGGGCCCCAGAGGCCCAGCGGGCAGAGTGGGAGCAGGGCCCCCCACTGGGCCATGGGCGGTGCGTCCTCGCATCACGTGAGTGGCGTGGAGCGGGTGCTGTGGCTTCCCGAGGTCAGGCCAGGGCCCACGCCGACTGGCCCGGGGTTCAGGGGGAGGCAGAAGAGTAGGGCAGGGCGTCTGCGAAGCAGATGCCGAGGAGTGTGGGCAGCTTGGGCGGCCACACTGAGCACCACGGCCTGCCTCGGCCTCCCACTTTGCCCAGCCCCCGCCTGCTCCCTCCCAGCCTGACCTGGCCCTGACGGGGCAGGGTCCGTCCTGCTTGCCTGCTCTGCTCCCCTGAAGGTGAACACACAGGGTTACAGGTGACCTCTGAGGGGAGAGTGGTGAAAAGCGAGCACGAGGCAGGTCTGGGTGCATGGGTGCTGGGCCACTCAGCAGCCTTGAACGCCAGCGCAGTTCACACCGCTTCCTTCTGAAGGCCAGGGGGAGGGATGGAAAGCTGCTTTCTTGTTAGGGTGTCTTTCATCGTGCCCGGGATGGAGCGCAGGGCCTCGCCGCTGCTAGGCAAGTGCTCACCCCCAGTGCTCTCCCACCCGCATGGAAGGGGCCTGAGGAAGGGCTGGCCGGGCCTGTGCGGGGGAGCCCGCGTGCCCTGGGGACTCCCGCCTCAGACGCTGTGAGTGAAGGACAGTGGCAGTGTGTTGAAGGAGGAAGAAGTCAGAAGCTTGTCGGGGAGGCTGCTGCAGTGACTTTGCTGTATTAAGTGCCGCTTCTGCGGGGTGAGCCTGTCAGTGCTACACAGAGTGAGAGCCCGCCCTCGGGGCTCTTGACACCAGCGCAGCCAGCAGCTTGCAAGTGTGGGGAGCGCGACCTCCCAGCAGGCGGCGTGGGCTTGCTGGGGACTCCCGTCTGTGTCCACACCTGAGGGCCGACCTCAGTCGGGCCTCCCCGAGCTCCGTGCTGTCGAGGGCTGGCAGCTGATTCTCAACCCTGCTAGGAGCCCAAGTACAGGGCTCGTTCAGAGGCCCAGCTTTGATTGGGATGCAGAAGCAGGACGTGGCTGCGGAGCTGCAGTGCTCAGTGTAGGGAGGACCGGGACTTGGGTTGGCCCTGTGCAGAGCAGCTGGCCACGGGGCTGAAGAGCAGAGTGTCTCAGTTACCTGTCCCTGTGTCACCAGCTGCCTAACGCCTGGTGACTTCAGACACAGCAGCCATTCTGTCCCCGCTGCTTGGGTGAGACATGGGGTTGGACATGGGGTGCCGCCTGTGTGGTAGAGTCAGAGTCGGGCAGCGCTGGGGCCAGGAGATCCTCGGGTCTTTACTGCTGGCAGCGGGGGATCAGTGGGACATATACACACAAACAGCGGGGCCCGGGATGTCTTCTGTCTTGGTCCGATTTCCCCAGCATGGCAGTTTTGGCTTCTTTTTTTTTTTTTAGTTTTTTTTTTTTTTTCAGTTTTGGCTTCTTACAAGAAGGCTTGGTGTGGCGATGTATGGGTGTGATCCTGGCACTCTGGGAGGCTGAGGCAGGAGGACTACAAGTTCAAGCCCAGCCTGGGCAACTTAGTGAGACCCTGTCTCAGAAAGAGTGCGGTGGGGCTGGGGACGTGGCTTAGCGTGAAGGCCCTGGGTTCAGTCCCCAGCAGTACACACTCACACTCACACATGCACACACACAGGCACAGCCCAGGGGAGGGCTGAGGGGAAGCTGTGTTCCCCTGGGCATCAGCAGTGTCACACCACCGCTGGCCCCAGGTGGGGCCCTGCCTCGGGCTACCACATATCCAGCCCCAGCGACCTCTCACGCCCCGCAGGTGCTGGCGAATGTGGCCTACATCATCATAGAGTCCACCGAGGAGGGCACGACTGAGTACAGCCTGTGGAAGGACTCGCTGTTCCTGGTGGACTTGCTGTGCTGTGGTGCCATCCTCTTCCCCGTGGTGTGGTGAGTGAGCTGGCCCAGAGCTATGGGCTCACCGAGGCCCAGTGTCTGGGGGGCCGTGTCCTCGTCCAGTCGTGCTGGGTCCTGGGAGCTGGCCCGGCACCTCACTGAGGCACAGGCGGCCGCCTGGGAACAGAGCCCAGGAGCCTGTGACAGGTGGAGGGCCAGCTGAGTTCTTGGGAGTGACCGATCCCACACGCCCCAGCCGGGGGAGAGGCCCGGACCCCTGGGGCTTGCAGCTGCAGCTGCGCTCCCTGTGCCCTCCCCGTCGCCTCCAGGTCTCCAGGGTGTGGCTGAGAGGGAGCAAGCTGGAGGAGCGTGAATGATGTGGCTCCCTGTGCCCCTGCCAGACCCACGGCGCTGGCGTAGGGAGGGACTCCAGTCTGTGAGCGCCTAGGGCAGGAAACAGAAATGCAGATTGGTCTGCTAACCATTGTTCTCCAAATGTTTATTTCTAGGTCAATCAGACATTTACAGGAAGCGTCCGCCACAGACGGAAAAGGCAAGTTCCCGGGCACTGCCTCTGCCACTGTCCCTGAGGTGGGGGCTGCGGTTCTTGGGCAGGCGGGTCCTGCGCGATAGGAGCAGCCCTCGGTGGGTGGTGGGGAGAGGGGGACCGTCACCCACCACCGCTGGAGGGGACTGTGGGGCTGCAGTGTGCTGAGGCGACACTCTGCGTCCGGAGGCCTGTGGTCCTGGCAGCCCAGTGGCCCTTGCTGGCTGAGGACGGGAGGCCTGCGGACCGGGTGGCTCCGCATAGGGCAGCCCTCCTGCGGCTTAGCACTCAGAGGAGACGTGGGGCTTTCAGTTAGGAGGCCGGGCTGGAAGGAACAGTTAAAACGACCTGACATCCTAGCACTGGTGTCCTGGGGACCTAGCTGAGCCCCGAGTCTCCAAAGAGGCCACGCACACAGCAGCGTTGTGCACTCCTTTGCCTGGGGCCCCAGGTGGTGCCCAGGCAGGGCTCAGGTCAGAAATCATGTGCGGCGCGGAGGGTGGGCTGGCCTTGGGGAGCTGCTTCTCAGCAGTGATGTGTATGAGCGGATTCGTATTCTCACTGAAGTTCTGTTCTGATTGTAAAAGTCAGGCGACCTCACTTGAGAGCAACCGAAACAGTGCCAGGCTCCAGATCTTACTTCTCAGGCTCCACCTGCCCCATTCTGCCCTCAGTTTTGCGTCGTCAGTTCTGGAGGTGGAAGCTGGGCCCGGGCTCAGTGCTTTGCCCCAGCTGCAGCCCCGGAGCACGCGTCTCTAGGACACTGGGCCGAGACCAGGCCGCTTCCCAGCAGCGTTGGGCACTGTGCCCACCGCCATCCCGCTCCAGTGGCTCACGGGGGCTGCCGTGTGGTCTGTGCCACCTCTGAGGGGAACAGATGGATAGGGCGAGGGCCCAAGCCCTCCTGCGGCCCTTACCATTTGGGGAGTCTTATTTTTTACCCTTCTGTGCATGTTATGTAGAAAGATGGTTTGGGTTTTTTTTTTTGGTACCGGGGATCGAACTCGAGTCCTTGAACTTGTGAGGCAGGCAGCGAAACCACTGAGCTACATCCTGGGCCTGGTTTTATTATTTTTATAATTAATGAATAGGTTTGTTTTTTGATACTAGGGATCAAACTCAGGACCTTGTGCTTGTGAGGTAGGCACGTTGCCACTTAGCTAAATCCCCGGCCCATAAATAGGGTTTTTTGTTATTTTAATGTATTAAGATGAGACTTTTTAACTTTTCATCTTTATACACTTTGTTCTCTCAGAGTTAGTTTTTCTGACCTTTCAGCTGAAAATATAAAATCCCAATCGGGCAAGGGCAAGGCAGTGCACACCTGTGATCCCAACACTCTGAGGCTGAGGCAGGAGGATTCAAGTTTGAGCCCAGCCCGGGCAACTTAGTGACACATTATTTTATTTAAAAATCAGAAATAGGGGCCGGGGATTTAGCTCAGTGGTTTTGCCACCTGCTGCGCAAGCTCAAGGACCCAAGTTTGATCCCTGGTATCAAAAAATAAAATAAAATAAAAATCAGAAATAAAAGGCCTGGGGGTGCAGCTCAGTGTGAAGGGCCTGGGTTCAGGTCCCATTACCAGGAAACCCAAACAAGGCAGAAACCTGCACATAACCACGTTTCTCCTCGCCTTCCCCCTTCCCAGTGACCCCTCCTCTGCCCCCATCCCTCCTCTCGCCCTTTCCACTCGCCCAGATCCACTCCCAGCTGAGGCTGCTCCCCCAGATAGGGCATCTTTGTAGGGCCTGCCTGGGGCTGCAGTGCAGCTCCCCTGGAACAGGTTGACACTGGCTGCCCGGGGCACTGTCTCAGCGTGTCCACCAGGGGGCAGCGTGGGGCTTCCTCGGCGAGAGCAAATACCACAGCAGCATACTGGCTCCGTTTCCATTCTGCTGAGGAAGCACCCAGCTCTTGTGAGCCAGTGCCACAGACCCTTAGAGGCTGGGACTGAGCAGATTAGAACGGGGGAACCTCTCAATGGCAGCTTTCGAGCGCCCTCCTTGGCCTTGTTCATTCCATGATTTGAAAATGGTTGCGCTGGGCCAGGCGTGGTAACAATGTGTGTCATCCCAGCACTCGGAGGCTGAGGCAGGAGGATTGAGTGCGGGGCCAGCCCGGTGAGTTCAAGGCCAGCCTGACCTATGTAGCCAGACCCTGTCTCAGAAAAACCAAAGAATAAACAAGTAAGAAAATGGTCAAGCTTGTGCCACTCAGGGGTCGAGGAGCCACGTTCCCACGGTGGTGTCTAGACCAGGGCACTGCGGTCCATGCCAGCTGCTGGCTCCATGTGCTTGGCCCTCTGCATCTTGCTTCACCCCCAGCCCCCTCTCCTAGCTGGATGGCGCCCAACTCATTCCTGGGATCTCACTGCAAGGCGTGACCGTGACGTGGGCTTCGGGGCCTTGGTTTCAGTTTGGGTGCAGTGCAGGCTGGGTAACTGCAGCCCAGGGAGGCCGTGGCCACTCTTCCCGTGAGTGTGTCTCGTGTACTCCTTTGTCTGTGGGTTCTGTTCACTGAACCCCAGGGGTACACAAAGGGAGGCGCGAAGGCCGGAGCGCGGCACCCTTACCGCCCTGTCTCCTGCCCTCGCTGTCCTGTCCTTGGGATCGGGAGGCCCTGTGGGGCCTGGCGCCCACTCTGCTCCCCCGTGGTGCCGCTGCCTACAGCACTGCGCCCTCTCCTCTCGGCGCTGTGTGGCAGAGGGGAGGTTGGGGGAATCCGGAGGAGGCGGGCCTCCCCCGGGCCACAGGAGAGTGGGTCGGGCGGCGCTTGTCCCCAGGGCCCTGGGCCAGGCTGCCCTCACGGTACAGCACCAGCTCTCACTGCGGGCCCCACGGCCTGGCCCCGAGCCCCACGGCCTGGCCCCGAGCTGTCCTGTAGCCATTGCTTCTGCATGGCCACCTGCTTGTGGGGGGAGAAAGGGCTCACGTGGCTGGTGAGGGGCCTCAGTGCTGCTGCGGGGACTGTTGCTGGGCTCACAGCAGCAAGTGGCCTCGATATTGCGGGCCCCAGCGAGTCTTTGGGGGCCCGGCGCGCCCCGCTGCTCCTCCGTGTAAGGGCTGGGTGCGGTGGCCATTGTGGGCCCGCGGCTGCGTGGGGAGCAGGTGGCCGCTGGCTTCTCAGCCTGGGCGTTGGCAGAACCCCCTTAGGGTGGAGGCAGTGAGCTGGCACTCGAGGAGAACCATCAGTGCTGCCAGTGATGAGACGCGCCTGCACGGTAGGGAAACGCGTCTGCCACGCAGGCCTGGTCGCTCTGGTTCCCACCACACCTCCCACGTGACCGGGGCGACTGTCAGCAACAAGCTCTTGAAACGATTTGTGAGAGCTGCTCTCTGGCCGGACGCGCTGCTCTCGGAGGACGCCAGGTGGCAGTGGGCCACGGCGGCTATGGGCTAGCGCGGCTAGCACGGCTGGGGAGCAGTTGGAGGTCACCTGCGGCAGCCCCACCTCCTAAAGCCGAGAAGACTGCTCTGGGAAGTGGCGGCAGGTGCCTGTGTCCCAGCCACTCAGGAGGCTGAGGCAGGAGGATGGCATCTCTAAAAATCACAACAGCATGTTCTCAGGCGTCTGGCAAGGTCTCCTGCCTTCCATGGGTTCATAGACCCAAGGTTTAAGACTCCCCGCTATCTTTAGTGTCTAGGCTGTCTGGGGACTCACTGTGTAGCCTAGGCTGGTCTCAAACTTGAGGTCCTCCTGCCTCAGCCTCCTCGGCAGTGACTTGGATAGAAATGTGCGAATGCAGTCATGGTGTCCCCGACCGATGCCAGGAGAGACCAGAGTGGGTACCCCGGGGGGCTCCCACAGCTGCTTCCCTCACTCTTCCTAATTTCTCTTTCTACTCCTCCCCCCTGGGCTGGGCTTCAGAGTGCTTGCCTCGGGGCCTTTGCTTTTTTTCTCTCCCTTTCCTGTGGGAGAACGGCCCGGCGCATTCTAGGCTTCCCAGTCTGTGGCAGTGCTTTCCCGCTGTGTGCAGTCTTCGCCGCCCTGCAGCCTGCACAGAGGCGCCCTCCTCCCCTCCCCAGGCCTGGAGGCCACCGGTCCATCCCTGCAATGTGACCACTGTGGGTTTTCCCGTTTCGCTGTTCGGTGCCTGGCTGGCTGCAGTTAGCTGCGGTTAGCATAGCTCCCTGAGGCTCTCAGGCTGTGGAGGAGGCAGGATTTCTGTGTACCAGGGCTGAGTGACGACTCGCTCTGTGTGAACCACAATGCTCAGCCATTCGTGTGTCTGTTGGCAGACATCTGAGTTGCTTCCCTGTGTTGGGCTGGTACTGAGGATCGAACCCAGGGCCTCTGCACTGAGCTACAGCTTCTGCCCTTTTTATTTTGAGGCGGGGTCTGGCTTAGTCCCTGAACTGCCCAGGGGGTCTGCCCAGAAGTGGGCTCCCTGAGTGACGTGGTGACCTCGCAGAAGTTCTGAGGAATCGCAGTTTCCCACAGTGGCCGTGCCATGCTGCGCTCCCACCAGCTGGAGACAGATCTGTCTGTGTCCTCAGCAGCACGTGCTGCTTCCCAGGCGTCCTTTTCTGTGCCTGGGCCGAGGCCAGAAGCCAAGACCCCACTCATGCCCAGCGCCTGCTCCCCGCTGGCCTGCAACCCGGCCTGCTGTGGTCGCCGTGAAGCGGTGTCTCCTTGTGTGTGCTTCGCGTTTCCTTGGTGATCCGTCACATCCAGCATCTCAGGCGCTTGTTGGCCGCCTTTAGCTCTTTGGTTCCTTGCCCATTTCCTGACTGGATCATGTTTGCCCCTGAGGGTCTATGTGCTGGAAGCGTGGTCACCAGGGTGGCCACACTGAGAGCCTCAGAAGGGACCGGGAGGTACCGAGCCGCAGTCCCCTGGCGGGAGCTCCCACACAGTCCCCTTGCCCGTGCCCCCCATGGTGATGCTGCCCAGTGTGGGCCGACGCCAGCCGGTGCCTGGGGCCTGCAGAGCTGCAAGCCGCACAGACCTTTTGTGAAGCAGCAACTTGAGGCAGTGTGGTGGGGGTGGGACGTTCGTCCTCTTTG